CACGACCCAGTGCATTTATGCTTTCTTTTTGCTTTGATACTGTGGATGAGTTTGTTTGAGTTAATTTGTTGAATTCAAAGAAATTTAAACAACTTTACAGAACTCACAGCAGGCAAATTTTCTACTGTAAGGCAGGCTATTTTTAATGGCAGTTCAGGTCTGCAAGCTATGATCGCCCATTGGGGAAAAACAGCAACATTTTGTCACGTACAAGTTAATTGAAGTACGCTATGAAATCATCAATTTATAATAATGATTAATAACAAAGCACTGTGGGCAATGGAGCTACAGAGCAAAACTAATTTGTGGAAATTACTCAGCAAGTGATTATGACTAATGTGATTTGCCTTTGGGCAACTCATGAACCAAAAGTTAAACGTGTGGAATGACATTAACCATTATTCATTCAGTATAGACAATGGCATTTGTACTGTAGCAGAGCCTATTTACTCCAGGCAAGTTTAAGGGATTTATTATAATAAGCGTTACATGGATTTTATTTGTTTATTTATTCATTTGGAGAAGGGGGGGAGGGGGCAAATATCTATCCTAAGGAGCTCCAAATACCAAGGTTAAAAAGTCTGAAAGGATTACACCAGTCTGAGTTAGCCTTTTAGTTCACATACTGGGAGCACAACAATGCTGTTTGTGATCAAACATTTTCATGTGGACTGAAGTCTTTGAGTATCCACGCAGCCTCTGCTGCAGGTTTTGTCGCTCGCACAATGGCTAGTCTGTCATTACTGCCCAAGTTAATTAGTGAGGGCACATTTTAAGATATTTCAAGCACACTAAGACATGGCCAATTCCAAGATCATCCTTCAAGGAACACTCAGTGTAGGTTTCTATAAATGCACATTTAAGAAAAGACTCCTTTTGTGCTTGACACTCTCCTCAAAAGCGGTGGAGGTTGCAGCCTGCTGGCTTCTATGCCATTGGGTGCAGCATGGCATCCCCGCCTCTTCCCTTACTTCCCTGGTGTTTCTTTCTTTTCCCCAGATCAGGTGAGGCAAATGACAGATAGTTCATTCCAGAAGGATAAAAAAGATCGGCACTTTCTCCATGCTTTCATACATTTTTAAAATGTTCGATGCCATGGGGTTTTCTTAGGAAAAACTATCAGCGGCGGGTTCATTTTATATTATTACCAAGAAATGTAATACCCCTAGAAGTAAAGGAGACTGAACAGTTTGCAGAAATAAAGAAGCCAGAGCAGACTTAAAATGACAAAATATGCTCAGGAACGATTAGTGGCAAGGACAGTTATTAAGAAATGAGTAGATAAAATAAATGTGTGAAAAGATACATAAACCACCCTTGTTAGTGCCCATTTATTTTCTACCTGATTGTTTTCCCCTTGTCCAAATCAGTGCACTCTAAGAAGGAGTAGCTTTGCATTTCTTTTGTTGTCAGCTTGATGCTAAAATATACTGCTTTGTTATAGGACAATCAGAATACTTTTCCGTGACTTCATGATTAAGCCCTTCAGAAGGATACGACCATTTGAACTTGACAAAGATGACATTTTCTTTTAATTTGTTTGGGTTATGAAAGAATGTCCAGAGGAAAAGGCTAAGTGACTGTCTTATAAGTGTAGATTTTAAAGGCAGAAGGAAATGGCTGAAATAAATTCAGAACACCACAAGTCTATTACAAAGCTCTTTCCATGAGACACAGTTAGAAGGAAGACTGGGACAAAAGCAATTATCTTCTCTTTCCCTTGCTAGCCTAGAGAAAAGAGAAACGAGCAACCCACCAGTAGCCACAGCAGAGGGATCATAGAATCATGGAATCACAGAACCATTGAAAAGACCACTAAGACTCCTGTCCAATCATCAGTCCATCCCCACATCATGCCCACTAACCATGTCCCTCAATGCCACATCTACCCTTTTCTTGAACATCTCCAGGGATGGTGATGCTATCACTTCCCTGGGCAGCTTGTTCCAATGCATTACCAGTGGTTATGGAGCACACTGCACTCAGAGGATGCTGTTTCTGCTTTTTCATGTGACCAATAACACCTCTCTGTGAAGATCAGAAGTAAGCGATGAAATTCTGGGAAGTGTGGTCTTCTGGTGAAACGCTATTCTGGGATTTTGGAGGGATCGACTTCCAGGTCCTAGCTCTACCAGTATAGTTTGGAATGATCTTTATTTTGCTGCATGTCAGGTCACAGTGCTGCATTATGCAGCATCTTGTCAGCAGGTCAAGAGAGGTTATCCTCCCTCTCTCTTTAGCCCTGGTGAGGCTTCAACTGGAATACTGCATCCAGTTCTAGGTTCCACTATACAAGAAATACATGGAGCTTCTGGAGCAAATCCAGCAAAGGGCTACTAAAATGATTAAGAAACTGTAATGAGACCTCTCGTAGAAGGAAAGGCTGGGGCAGCTGGGCCTGTTTATCCGAGAGAACAGAACACTCAATGGGTGTCTGATCAATGTATTGAAAGGAAGGGTGCCAAAAAGATTGGGTCAGACTCTTCTCACTGGTGCTCAGTGATAGGTCAAGAGGCAACAGGAGCCAACTGGAACACAGGAAGTTCCATCTGAAGACAACAAAAAAATTTATTTGCTATGAGAGTGACAGAGCACTGGCACAAGTTTCCTGGATAGGTTGTGGAGTCTCCTTCCCCAGAGATATTAAAAAACCACCCAGACACAGGTGGACATTAGTTAGCAGGGGTTTGGATTAGCTGATCTCCAGAGGTCATTTCCAACCTCAACCTTTCTATGTTTCTCTGGTCCCATGAATTTGTGATTCTGACCACATGTAGACAGGCAGTCAAGTAGTTGCAGATGGGACAGCCCCAAGACCTAAAAAGCAGCCAAATCCATACTGTTTTCATGAAACTGGGTGTCAGTACTGTCTTACATTTTAAAAAATCTTCCCATTAACCTCCTTAGCTCCCTACCTCATAAAAATCAATCATTTTCTAATTAACTAGTCAGATTCCAATGCACTTTGCCAAAATTTTATTATCCTGTTCTCAGAGTTGTAGCATGCAACTATTTATTCAAGTTTCTACTGCTCCCATTTTGATGAAATTGGGTGAACGAATCTCCATCTGGGAGCCTAAGGGAGCTCTGTAATGAGAAACAGTTGCAGGAAGGTGAGTAACCCTTTTGCTTTGCAGGGTTTGCAATATGAGGAGAAAGGAAAAAACATATGTGCTCCCTCTTTATGTTCCAGTATCCAAAGGGAAGAAATTAATGCAAAAAACAGCTTCCACATGTATTTCTTGGTCTGATGGTTAGACTTTTTTCCTAATTTGAGTGAAATGATTATCCTCTTTGGGGTTTTACTGTAACATTCAAAGCTGAGGGTCAGGCCCAAAGTCTCCCTGAGACATTAGTAAACTCTGCAGAAACAACTATAAGATGATATTCTTTAACTGACGTGGGCATTACAGTGCAAAGCACTATATTACATAGCATTGAACACTGAGGTTCCTCATGCAATGTGTATGGAAGCCAAATGCCTTAAGAGCAACATTTAGTATCCTAAGTGGAGAAATAACCAAACATGTCAATAAGAAATGTAGAGGTGATGGAGAGAGCCTCAGCCAACCAACTTAAAGCTAGTGAGGCATCAAGCCTCACCTGATGGATATTCTCTGCAGTGAGTCTTCCCCTGGGGTCTGGAGTCTAAGGTTCTGTCCACTTTCTTATGAACCAGTAGCAAGAAAGCTTCATCAGAACCAAAAGGTGGAACACTTAATGTGAGAGCTCTAGCAGCTTCATTTTTTTTCCAATTTGATAAGCAGACTAAGATTTGGTTAGCTTGTATCCTTGGTGTTAACTACTGGACTATAAAATTACATGCACTTTCACTCTTTGTCCCAGTGAGAACATAATCGTTTATATCAGGCCTCAGTAACACAGAATGAGATTCACTGCAGTTTGCCAAATAGTTTGCTTGAAGTTGAAAGCAGTGAACAGCAAAGGTGTTTGCTCATGCTCTCAACACTTTGATACTACTGATGTGACACAAAACGATACTACCCAGGACTGACAGTTACCACAGTGATCCACTGGCAGTGTCCATACAGCTCTTGTCAGCCAGACACAAATGTAGGCTTGAGTTCACTCTGCCAAATTACTTAACTTGTGTATGTGCTACTTCTAAGGCTGCCCATCAAACTGCTCTACCTTCACAGTTATAGGGAAAAGTCAGCTGTTGCCCTCCTGCAGAGCATAAGCCAACACAGGTAAACAGCAGAACCTGGGACTCACGGTCAACACCTGGAACAAATTCAACATCATGATCAAATTGCTACTTCTTTGTTTCTGCTTTGGTTATTCTGTTTTGGAGACTATTGATGAGGTTCATCCATCCCTGGGTGCCTAAGCTAAGTCCATGTGCACGGCAAAATGCTTTGCTGTTGCAAGGATTTGGGGTCGTGCTTGTGGGTAATCTCCTTTGTTGTCTGTGATACTGAGCCAGATTGCTATAGAATGAGCGCCTGTGCCTTTGGTAGTTTTGCTAGCAATGCAGAGCACATTTATGTTGTGTTGCACCAGGTAGGATCTCACTCCAAAGCTTTTCATTTATATCTTCAAGAAAAGGCTAAGGAAGATGGTTTCTGGCTTGCCAGTGAGTCCTGCCTGTGGACATTCTGCTAGAGATATTCCCAGACTAAAGCCACTTTTTTTTTCTTACTTCTGTATGTGTTCATATCTTGAAGTCAGTATTTTAAATTAAATCAAGCTAGATAATGAAGTATGCAATTGTGTATGCTGGCAAGAAGTGGGAGGGGAAAAAACCAGCAAACTTGCAAGTGTGTCATGTATATTGTTTTAGGCAGTAAGTGTTTTCTGTTAAAATTATCAGGCATGATGAATCCAGTTCCTTTGCCATTTTATTGAAAAATTAAGAATTTAATGGGAAAAGGCTGTTTTCCAGAGAATTAAATAGCTTGAAGTAAAATGACAAATTAAAGGCATTTAACCAGTGCAGTTTTCCACAAAAATGGGAAAAAGAAGATAATCAAACTCACCTTAAGCCTGTTAAATGCAGCCTTCAGGATCTGTGTCTCCCTCTCGCTCTCAGGAACAACACGAATGACTTTATCACTGCCAATAAGAGAACATTGAATTGACACTTTCAGGATTCTTGCAGCAGCACAGTGCAAAAGTAAATAGGTTACAGTGGCTGTAATTGCGCTCGGCAGCAGCAAAATGCCAGACGAACTGGAGCTGTGCTTCTAAACTTTCTGCTTGGGTCATGCACTTCCATGCAAGTGTTTTGCTCTTTGCAGACAAGAGTGTTATGTTGTTCTTCCATTTCTGTGTAAATGCTTCTGTTCCTTGCTTCTAACAACCGTTCAAACAGATATCTTCCATACTGAAAGTGTACCTCAGATAAAAAATCATCCTTTATATTGCAAAAACATAAAATGTCTTTCTGAAGGCAAGATCAGCAAGATGCACTGCTTTTATAGGTTTGAAAATGTAATGGGCTTTGGAGGATCCAGTGGTCTCATACTTTAAAGAGGGGACTGTAGAAGATAGGTGGCCTTCATATGAAGGACATACCTTTTGCCTTACCCTTGCACAAATCTGTCATGTAAACATGTAAACAGTTATTCTTACATGCTCAGAAGGCTCTAGATAATAGCAGCTCATTCTATGCACTTTTTTTAGCAGATTATAACAAACGTAAATTTTGAAACATAGAACACGAAACTGAATAGCTGTCCATCCATCTGATGGAACTGTGGGAGGCTGGAGAGCACAAGGTGACTGCAGAAAAACGCAAGCTGTGATTGTGCAACTAAAACATTAAATTCCACTCACAAAAGGGGCTGAAATAATTGTGCATGGCCAATGTTAGTTCTGGTGTTTTCCTACCTTTTAAGACTTTGGCTTCACATCATAACATTCAGTACTTCTCTCCCCAAAAGCCCAAAGAAATCATACACATCTTTATTTGGACAGTTCCATCCTCCAGCCAGAATCCTCTTCAATTTTTTTAAAGTCCAATTTCTTCCTTGCTTGGGAATTTTATGCTGTAGCATTTCCCTTGACATTGAGAGGAAGCGTATTACAAAAACATATTGTGAAGCCCCTTATCTTCCTGATGCTTCTGAATCTGCTCAGAAGATACTTGGCTAACTAGAAACAACACTGGTGAGTGTGCCTTCACCTTCTCCCTGTCTTAGGAAGGTTCCTTGGCTGCTGCCATTTCTCAAAGCAATTACTAGATCCTTCCTTTGCGGCTGCAGCTCTTGTAAGACTCCCCAGTGTTGTAAGAATTATTAAGATATTTACGAGTAAACATTAAATATTATCAGAGTGTCATATGAAATCTGGGAAGAAAACTCTCTAACTCCAGTGTGGTGCTTGAAAGCGGCACTCCTTTATTCCCCATGGCTCACACAGGGCAACTTGACAAGCAAGCACACCCTCTCGGAGTTCAAGTTCTACAGTTGAACAGTTGGGACATACATATGCAGTACATTGGCATACATATTCATTGTTTTTCAAGGTCTCATAGATATGTGCTAATGTCTCTTTGGGGGCAAGCTCAGTGGTATCTAGGGTGGTCGAGTGTCCACCTTCTTCTTCCCATTTTTTCACTATCAGCTCCATCAGCAAAGCCTTTGACCTACTTCCATCCACTTTTTCCCGGTTTGGAAGATTTCATTGCTTGTATAGTGAGTCACTTTTTACAAACAATGTATGGGGAACCTGTGGAAAATGTCCTTGCACATTTTGAGGCAAAAGATAAAAGTGTTCTATTGTGACTCCAGTACTTCTTGCGAATCAAAATCATTGAGACAGAAGATAAAAGTATTCTATTATGTCTCCAGTGCCAAATTACTGAGGAAAAACAAGACTGTTCACCCACTAAAGCTGAAATGGAAAGCTTTAGAACTATCCCTAGAATGTGTGTGCAATAATACTGATGTAGCCAGAGAAGTGGACTACATCAGTTCACTGTTCTCGGCTGCTGTTGGCCTTACCTGACAAATGGTCTGTGCCTCAGGAGGAAGATTTCTGGAAGGACCCTTTTTATAATTTGGCAGCTCTAAAAATTCTAAGGGAAAGATTTTTTACTAAGCTTTGGAGACAAGTTGAACCTCCCTTATAGGAACTTACACAAAAAGAGAATGCTCCTTAGAGCATAAAACTGTTGTGTATTTTCAAGGGAAGTAAATGCTCTTAATTTATAATGCACACAGCAGTAATAGTCTTTCCCATTACTCACTTCTCTAAGAGTATTAAATTTCTGTTAAGAAGGAAATTATTAAAAAGCAGCAACGATTGCCCAGGACATGTGAAGGTGAAGTAATTAATAAACATTCATTGGAAGTTTCTGGAAGAATTGGGGCAACCAACATATGCGGAACAGATTTTAATGAAATAAGTATCTAAGCATGTGTTATACATCTATGATGGAATGTTGAATGGACTGATATCACTTAGGTATGGTCCTGAGTTAATACACGTCACTCTAAACTGTCTTGGATTAGCTCAGCAGCTCTGTCATTTCTCATTTGATGAAACACATGCCTTAAAGGGGAAAACATTGGTGCTGTGACTGATTGATCACTTGACACATCATTGGGAAATGCCTCAAGCTGTGGCTGGCCCTGCTCCTGGAGAGCTCAAAGAAAGCAGTTTGTCATACCTGGTGCTGTTAGTATTTCATAAAAGGATGGTTAAGCCAATGCCACAAGGCAGTTTCATTTTTTGTTGTGCAAGCTCCAGGAAGACAATGAACTCCTGAAGGCTATCGACAAACTCCCACTTATGTAGGCTAGCCAGCTGGTGGGTAATCATTCTAGGTTCTTCCAAAAAGCACAAATACCAGATCCTGCTTTATTCTTGATATCCACCAACCAAATAACATAGCCCTAACCTTTCCTAGGAATATTTCACATTAAAAAATCAAATTATTACATTAAGCACTATGCAGTACCCAATGCATTTAAAGTAGAGATCCAACAGCCTATACAATTTTTAACATTCAGCAACAAATTCTACCCGTTCATGGACTGCTGTGGCTGACAAATGGCAGCTGTATCCAAAACATTCAGAACTATCCGTAGTGATATTCCCTATCCTTGCTCCTTGAGCTCTCGAGGAGAAAGGATCAAGTTGATCACATATACATTTAGGAAAAGTTGTTTCATATTGTCTTGCCTGATGATGCATGTCAGCAAAATGCTGCTTTATGCATTATTTTTCTAACTATGCTGTCTCTAAAACATTTCTTAAAAGCCTACTTTTAAAATTTTAAACAAATAGCAAGATGGAATATATTTTACAGAAATTAATATAGAACATTCAGTCAAAGAGGACAAACTTTCAATTTATCACCAGCAACTAAACTAATGGCATTAAGAGCTAGGATTTAGAGGGATGGTTTGAATTTTGTACCAACACGACTGAAAGCATTCACAAACAGAAGTACACAAGCTTTAAGAATTAAACTGACCAGTGAGATTGGTGAGCAAAGAGTAGCAGCCAGAGAGTGATGTCCCCATGGACAGTCTGGTATCTGAGCAAAATGGGTGACAAACCATTGGCTAGCACTGACATGCAGTGGGTTTTATGTTCTTCGTGATCCTCTTATATTTTTAAGAACTGCATGAAAAATGGTGCAGCTGCTTTTGAAACACAGAATATGCTACATGAGTCTGTGATAAACTCTGCCACTGCTGGGGAATAAAAATTCTTTGTTGATTTCTTTGGATCTTTTTATTTACTTCATTGTTTTACTTATCTATGAACAGACCAGATGGATTCAATGAAGCCATTCTGGAGCACATGCAAAACTTCTTTACCAATGTTGTGTATGGAATTTCTCTCATGAAGTCACATGGCGTGAACTGTGTTCTTGTAAATTTCTCATTTCCTTCCGGAAAATCCTTATTGTTATTATCTTGACTAATGTGAACCTTAATCAGCTCTCTCATTTCCCAAGCAATTCAATTAAAATATGTTTACAAAGATTTTACAAGTATTTTAAACACAGTTTGAGGAATTATGCTATAAATCAAATACCTACAGGGAAAAAAAAACACCCAAAACGAACCCGAAAGAAAACAAATCCCCACAATCCTCACTTATAGTCATCTACTCCTAATGGCAGAGGAAATCTTACAGTTCTTGAGAACAAGTCGCCATAGCTTTTGCACTTAAGTGGTTCATTAAGGTGACGGGAGTACACACACACTGAAAGATACATCTGAAAAAAATACACCATGAAAGCCTCTAGACAACTCCCAGTATGCCATCAGCTTTCATGTGCAATGAAAGATTCATTGCTTCACTCCTTCATCTCCGCTAAACTCTTCTGCTAGTCGAAATGTTTCAAAATATTCAAACTTTCTTTATCTGTCTGTTACTGGGATAGTGTGGACTCTTAAAAAAAATTGCTTAAATAAGGTTGGGCTCTTTCTGGAAATTTAATAGGAATGTGTGGGAAGGGAACTTAACAAAACTTCCTGAACACAACTGTAAGGTTTTCTGTATTGGAACAGATGCCGATCCAAACAGAAAAGAGAACCATTTGTGTTTTCTATATAGCATTCTGTATAATTTCTGCTTTTTAGTTAATAAGGCAGGAAAACTGATGTTATTCCTGGTACAAAGAAGAGCTAGCTTATCTATAATTTTGAAAGAAAATGATTTTGCTTGGGTAATGTAGGAAGAAATGCTGAGGAGGTAAAATATTTTATTGCATGATATTTATCAGTATCGAACAGATGACTTCTTTGAAAACAGAACTCATATGCATGTTGCCTGCTAATTCCCAGACATGGTCTATCTGAGTTTGAAAGATTTTTTTAGGTGCAATATTGATGTCCTACTTTACCCAAGCAAGAAACTTGCAGGCCTAAACTATGCAGTACTACCAGCACTATTCCTTTAAACAGCTTCATTCTATGAACAGGTGGTATGCAAAGGTGGATGTTTGCAGTTCAAGATCCAACAAAGGAATGATGTTTTTTCAAGCAAAGCTGGCCTCCAGTGATTTGCAAACACTGCACATAGCTCAAACACAGAAAGGGGGAACCAGTTGCTTCCGTCTCATAAAAAAACTCTGTATGCTAATGGATGCCATCTTGCATCAACAAATGTCGTTGGGTCTTATGTAAATACAAGAGAGAAAGAAAGCACTTTCTCAGAGCAGAAAATAAACAAAATCATAGAATCATAGAATGGTTTGGGTTGGAAGGGACCTTTAAGATCATCTAGTTCCAGCCCGCTGCTGTAGACAGGGACACCTCCCTCTAGACCAGGTTACTCACAGCCCCATTCAAGCCTTGAATGCTTCCAGGGAGGAGGCATCCACAACCTTACTGGGCAACCTGTTGCAGTGTCTTACCACTCTCACAGTAAAGAATTTCTTCCTGATATCTAGTCTAAATCTACCCTCATTCAGTTTAAAGCTATTTCTTCTCATCTTGTCGCTGCTACATGTCTTTATCAAAAGTACCTCCTCAGCTTTCCTGTACGCCCTTTCAGGTACTGGAAGGCTACTCTGATGTTACCTTGGAGTCTTCTCTTCTCCGGGATGAAGACCCACAGCTCTCTCAGCCTGTCCTCATATGGGAGGTGCTCCAGCCCTCTGATCATCTTCGTGGCCCTCCTCTGGACCCGTGTCAGCAGATTGATGTCTTTTTTTTGAGGTCTCCAGGACTGGATGCAGTACTCCAGATGGGTCTTCCAACCCCAGAGTAGAGGGGCCTCCTTTAACCTGCTCCACCTCCTTCAACCTGCTCATCATGCTTCACTTGATGCAACTCAGGATATGATTGGCCTTCTAGGCTCAAGCACACATTGCCAACTCATGTTGAGTCTTTCATCAATCAGCGCCCCCCAAATCCTTCTCTTCTGATCTCAAGCCATTCATAACCCAACCTGTATCTATGCTTGAGACTGCCACAACCCAGGTGCAGGACCTTGCACTTGGCCTTGTTGAACTTCATTAGCTTGGCATGGACCCACCTCTCAAGCCTGTCCAGGTCCCTCTGGATGGCATCCTTTCCCTCTAGCATGTCAGCTGCACCACTCAGCTTGGCATCATCTGCAAACTTGCTGTGGATGCATTCAATCACACTGTTCTTGTCTCCTACAAAGATGTTAAATAACACCAGTCCCATCCCAGCACCCATTCCCGAGGAATGCTACTTGTCACCAGTCTCCACGTACACACTGAGCCACTGACTGTAATTCTCTGAGTGTGACCATTCCGCCAATTCCCACTTCCTAAGTGGACCATCCATCAATTCCACATTTCTCCATTTTGGCAACCAAGATGTCATGCAGGACACTGTCAAATGTTTTGCACGAGTCCAGGCAGATGATGCCAGTTGCTTTTCCTTTATCCACTGACACCGTAATTTTATCATAAAATGCCACCAAGTCAGGCATCACTTGGTCTTTCTGCAGCCATGTTGGTTTTCACCAATCACCTCATCTTCACTTTCCATGTGCCTCAGTAGGGCCCTCAGGTGGATCCGCTCCATGATCTTGCCAGGCACAGGGGTGAGACTGATATGCTTGTAGTTCCCTGGATCTTCTTTTTTTCTCTTCTTGAAAATGAAGGTTATGTTTCCCCTTTTCCAGTCAATGGGAAATTCACAATACTGCTGCTACGTTTCAAAGATGACAGATAATGGCTTGGCAACTTAATCTGCCAGTTCTGAAGAAATCATAGAATCATACCATTCTATGATTCTATTATATTATTCTATAATTCCCTCAGAACCTGTGGATGGATCTCATCAGGTCCGATGCACTTGTACATCTTCAAGTTCTTTAGATGGTCTCAAACCTGATCTTCACTTACAGGGGGCACATTCTTACTTTTGCTTTCTGCAGCTTAGGCAGTGTGGCTAAGCCCTTGCTGGTGAAAACAGCGGCAAAGAAGGCACTGAGCACCTCAGCTTTCTCCATATCCCTCATCTCCAGGTCTTCAGTTTCCTTCCAGAGAGGTCCCACCTTTTCTCTGGCCTTCCTTTCATCACTCATGTATCTGTAGAACTTCTTCTTGTTCCCCTTATGCCCCTGGCTAGATTTAATTCTATCTGTGTTTTAGCTTTTCTAACCTGATCCGTGGCTGCTCAGACAACTTTTTGTACTCCTCCCAGTAACTCATTCCTGCTTCCACTCTGTATAGACTTTCTTTTTGCACTTAAGTAAGTCCAAGAGCTTCCTGTTGATCCATGGAGGCCTCCTGGCATTCTTTCCTGCCTTCCTTTTTCTTGCGATCTGCTGCTTCTGGGCTTGGAGGAGATGGTTCTTGAATACTGACCAGCTCTCTTGGGCCCCTCTTCCCTCCAGGGCTTTATCCCATCTCACTTTGCCAAGCAGTTCCCTGAGGAGTTTGAAGTCTGCTCTCCTGAAGTCCAGAGCTGCAAGTTTGCTGTGCACCCGCTCTACACCCCTGCTTTTAAACTCTACCATTTCGTGGTCACTGCTGTCAAGGCTGCCCTTGAACTTCACATTATTCACCAGCCCCTCCTCACTGATGAGGACATGGTCCAGCATAGCACCTATTCTCCTGGGTTCCTGTACCACTTGGAAGAGGAAGTTATCAGCATATTCCAGGAACCTCTGATTTCTAGTGCCCTGCTATGTTGTCCCTCCAAAAGATATCTGGGTGGTTGAAGTCCTCCATTGAGGACCATGATTTCTGAATGTGAAGTTGCTCCTATCTGTTTGCAGAGGGCCTAAAAAAAAAATAAGAAGTAGCAAAACAAGTACGTGTCTTAAGAAAAACAAACAGTCCAAAGCAAGAAAGCAGGCTACAAGGAGATATGGTACTAACTGTGCTGGATTAATTAAGATATGCAAAAACTTAGAAGCTATGAACAGAAGAGTCTGCAGTAGTAAGCATAAATTAAACACTCTGTATACTCATTTGAATTCACTGCCTAAGATATGTATTATAATGACATATTTGCATGAAATAACTGATGTTGTTAGCTTAAATGTAATCTTTTCAATGACATATTAAGCCCACTTACTTTTTTTAAAAAGACCCATCTTTTGTCTGGTCTCAGAGATTACTGAAAGGAACTTACGCTGTAACTCCAATCTCTTTCTCCTCCAATATGTTTCTCCTGTGCTCTGCTTTTTGTTTTGTATGGAGATTTGAATACACGGTGACTTTGTTAGGCACGACATGGCCCCAGTATGGCAGTACCAGGATGCTCAGTCCATCTCAGTGCTCCCGTGCAAAACAGGAAAGCTTATCCTATGCTCTCCATCTTGACTGAAGAGGCATATTTGGCTTGTGTGGCATGGCTAGACAAATATGGCTTACTGTCATAATTATGTTATGGCAAACAAGCATAGGGCTGCCCAGCTGGTGTCCCTGGACAAACTTGATTGTATCCGTTGCAAACATTTTTATCCCTTTTTCCATCTTTTCACCCTCACTTCCATCATGCTCGTGCTTTGCTTTCTCTGTCTGTCTCCTCTCAAATAAAAACTCAGCCCTAACAACTTTTTTCTCCCCAATGGTCCCAGGTTTGCTGCTTCTTTATCCAATTTTGGGATTTCTAGGTAATCTCATCTTTGCTTGATATTACTGACATGGTTATCTTGTTGGTCCTCATGTCCCCAGTACTGCCTGTAAATTACATGTAAAATTGAACCACTTCTCATGTAACTTCACCTTTATCTCTGCAAGGTCCAGCCATCCTTCACAGTCCTATCTGAAATTTTGTTCACATTTCCACATTGTCATATCCAGCAATTTCTCATGTCAAATCCCATATTGTATCCATGTCCCGATCTGTTTGTTTAACATCAGGTCACTGCCAGCATTTGCCTTCAGTCCTCACCCTCTGCCTCGCTAAAAATCCGCACAAATGCTTGTGTGCCTTTCTAAACTTAACAATTGCTTCAGCTCACCTTATAGTCCATGTATGTCTTCAGACTCTGCAGCAACAATTTCAACAACTTTCAAATTAAATATCATGAGATTCTGCCCAGCTCTTGACCTCAGAGAAATCCAAGAAAGAAAACCAAGACTGAAAGGTGTACAGAATTTACGTGTCAACAGGCTGAAGGGATGAACAGTTTGGTGTTACGGATCTACATTTGACTTCTTGTGTTCCAGCTTCCTTTAAGACCTTGAGCAAACCACCACAGGTCATCTTCAAATAAGGTTTGACAGGTTTTTGAGCTCTATATGTTTTATATCCACATTGCTGTCTGAATTTCAGTCATAAGAACCAAACACCATATATTTGCCCAGAGATATTTGCTGGTGGACTGAATTATGGCCTTCTCTTATGCCCCATCATTTCCAATGGCCTGCACAAAAAAATAAGTCTGGGCTCTATTCCTGTGGATGTGCTTGAAATACAAGTATTAGCAAATGTATGAGATTCAGTCTGTCTCTGTAGCTGAGTGCACACTTGCCTGCAAAGCACGTGGATGATGGACAAACTTGGACTAAGAGCTGTGCTTAGCTGACTGTAAATATGGTTCAGCTCCTCACCTTTGTAAATGGGGATGATAATAACTTTTAAATGTGCGGGGGTATTAAGACAATAAATATATTCATGACTTCCAAGCTTCCAGATGGCTATGGTAATGAGAGCAATGAAAGACGTAGCAAGCAGTAAACAGGCATTTCACAAAAGCTAAAGAAAAAAATTCTGCAACTATTATTCATGTCTTGAAACATCGTCCATTTATCCCATAGACTTCAGTGGTGTCACAACCACCATGCAGAGATCATCTGTAAGCCTACAAAGATACCAAACAACAACAATACCTGGGTCTTTTTTGCCATGGGGCTCTAACTTTTTGTCTGTGTGCCTTTGTTCTTAAAAGAGGGAAACAGATGCATTCATACAAATACAGTGCCAAGAAATGGACTGGGCTTCTTCAAGCCCTATTTTCTATCACACACACACAATGGAGGCAGAAGAGCTCTTTTGTTCTAATGGTTATATTTTCCCCAAGAGTTATCGAAGACCGTACGACATGAAATTAGACAAAGGCTGATGCCATTGTCGCCCAGCTGGTCTTACAATGCTACATAAAGACAGTGAATGTCACTGCTCATGTTTCACACACAGTAGGGAAATAAAAACTGGCATTTTCTAGCCGGTCACCTGAAAAGGGCATTCTCAGCATTCCATGACAACTTTGCTTTTACTGAAGCTGAAGTAACATCACATCAAATGGATGCAGCTTTAGTTTTTCTAATAAATTTGTTTGAGATCAGAAAAAGAAAGACTGGTCTGCACAAAAAAGATTAGCAATGCTAAGCTACAATTATGTCTTCTTAAAGATTTAATAATGATGCTTTATTATTTGTGTGGCTCCTTTGCCTACAAGAACAGCATGCTTTTTTTTCCCTGTATCCTATGCATGCCTTTTTAATTAAATCTAATATTTTCCACATCTTGAGCTTTCTCCATACACACCTACAACTGGTAACATAGATTGCCAAGGTCTTGCCTACATGCAAACAAATAATGGGGTGTGCAGAGGACTTTTTAAAGTTCAGTGGAAGGTTTTTATGCCCTTTGACAGACAATAAATTAGTATTTCTAAAACAAAAAAAAATAGAAGAGCCGAAACATGCTCTCTTGCTTTGGAGACAGTTATGAAATTGTGAAATATGTTCAGAGGTTGGAAATAGCTTTAATTCTTTTTTTCAGGCAAACTATAAAGCTGGAAAATATAAAATATTATGCTTTCAATGAAAGGAGTCTTTTACAGTCTTTAAAGAGAATTTTAAATGCTAGCAGTTTTCTGATAAAACTGCATGAGTTGTCACCACTATATAGTAAAACTAGTACTTTACCACAAAAAGCTCAGTAAAATTGATTTACTGTAGAATATTTTGAAAAGTCTTGAGATTAAAATTCTCATGTACCAACAAATAACAAAGTAACTATTTTTTCTGATACTGATAAATGGGTTGACATACATAAATGTAAGGTCTACAACTTTCTTTTAGACCTTTCTAAATTCAGAGGAAAAAATTAATTAAAAAAAACATGAACTGTGTGGACTTAACTGCTTATGACTGATGGTTTTACCTGAACTGGCAGCAACTGAAGAAGAGAACCTTTGGGTAGAACGTCTGCCCACCTCTAACTATGCTACAGCCACTGAATGGGGTAAGTGATTTATCTGTCCCCGTTCACTGTTTCTCAAAGACATGACAATACTTCAGTCTTTGAAAAACAAAGGGAAGAAATTGTTATTTTTATTTTCATGAGCCACGCATTTAATTTAAATCAGCAATTTATTTATTTTTTTTAACACGATCTCCATGGGATGCTCATAAATGTTGCTAGATTCACTATGTAGTTTCCTACAAAGAAAGGAAAGGAATAAGATCTTATGACCACAAGGTCTTTTCAAGCACACTGTTCCTCTCCCCATCTGTAATGAATTCAATGCAAAATAGATCCCAGCCATTAACAATTATTGTCATAGGCTGATAAAGTCTATGACATTAAAGTCCTTCCAGTAATAGAAGGGGGTCTACAGGAAAGCTGGGGAGGGACTTTTTATAACAGCAGGTAGTGACAGAATGAGAGGAAAAGGTTTCAAGTGGAAAAGGGTAGATTTATACTAGATGTTAGGAAGAAATTCTTTACTGTGAGGATGGTAGGACACTGGAACAGGTTGCCCAGTGAGGTTGTGAATGCCCTCTCCCCTGACCTGGGCAACACTCTTGCTGATGAGTCCAGGCCATTGCTGGCCTTCATCACTGCACAGCTGTACTGCTGATTTGTCTATGTCCAAATTGCTCCCTAGAGAGCTGCTTTTTAGCCAGCCGCCTCCCTGAACTATTTTGTGCAGTTTGATGCTATTTAACACAGTTTGATGTAATTTCCTGCAACGCGTTGCTTACTGTTACTTTGGGAAGGATAGGATGACTGCCTAAAAAAAGAAAAAAAAAAGATTATGTTTGTGCTTTTGAATTAAACACAACTGTCCTACATTTGTACTTTGGCATCACATATATCACAATCTCTTTGAATGACAGA